ACGAGAAGTCTCAAAATGATCAATAAATTATGAAATAATACAGCAATGTTAATGTTAAAGCCCGTCGATTGGTATCGGAAGTGGGGCGGGATGGCCAGGCGTAGAGGAGCGACTTCCGGGTTCCGGCCTAGGCCTACTCCTCATAACTCATCATCAGCACCCCGCGGGAGGCCTGCACCCTCCGAACAAAGAAAAATAAAGATTTGTGTGAATTATATCCCTCTGTGTAAGCAAAGGGGAAACATAAGTTATAAAAAGTGAATCCGCAACTTGGTTCAGATTGCTTTTTGTCTATTTTGAATTAAATATTTTTATATTTTTAAATAGAAATAAATTTGGGTAAACATTAAATACTTATTAATAATTTAAATAGTCATAAATATTTATGACATAATAAGGGTATGATTAAATACATTAAGGATGATATTAACCCGATTTTGACGTTTTCTTTTAATGTTGGGAAATGCATTTACGCATACTACTACTACAGTGGGGGACTCATTGGCTAGAAAAGCGAGTACTTCCCATTAAATCCCAACAGCACCTCCCCCGTCTTAATGGAGCGTCGCAGGATCGCTTATGCACTGAATCACGATGTCCCGATGGCAGGTTTACCGAAGCAGACCACACAACCAAGGGGTTGTATGACCAACCCACATGGTACACCGCCTTCCGAAGTGGGCCACCTCCCTGTTCGTCTCTTGGCTTCGCTTGGGTTGCCGCACGCTAATGAGCCCCCCACCAAGACAAGGTGAACACACGTCGGGTGGGAAACCGATTTTGAACTGCTGTAATATAGGGAGCATCTCAAAATAATTTGAATGAGCCCAGAAATCTTTAGTAGTAGCTATTGAAAAATCATCTGTACCTACCATCACACATCACAAATAATTACAAGTGACACTAATAAAATCATCTTACAAAAGTTGCACACAACTCTATCTAGAAGTTTCCAGCAATTGCCAGACATACTAATTTGAACTATAGGCTTCTAGGTAGACTTGTAGGTTTACATAAGGTTCTGGTTAGGAGACAAAAAGATATTCTGATTCCTCTGATAGACGTCGTTGGGCTTATTTTGAAATCTCTCCAATCTCTGTGCTTTATAATAATGTTATATAATAATGTTTGTGTTGTCTCTACATAAAATGTAACGGAACCGAAAATTTATCAGAACATTACCCACGATGAATTATTCTTGTGTTTTCTTATGTTATGAAAAAGTGTACAAAAATTCTTAAAATCTGCTCAACACAGATAGCAAAGAAAAATATTTATATAGAATTAACGAGAACTACTTGCGAGTATAAAACTATCAAAGTATTGACAAATACCCCAAACATATATGTAACTCCTATAAAATAACTTGTCAATACCGCAATGCAGCTAGTCCTGCATTCGTGACTTAACGTTTCAAATACTCCCATCGATTAAATATCACTAACATTTAATTCAACTACACACTAAGATGTAAATTCTATATAAATATTATAAAAATATCAGCCTCTGTCTATTTTTTAAATAATGTCCATTTACTTGCTTACTCAAATGAAAAAAAAATTAAGTTTAAGTATTCGTTGAGTAGATAACTCGAGTTGCTAATATTATTATTAAATAATAATTTATTAGAAAACGTATGTGTTGATGAAACTCTATGCTTACCATAATAACACATAGAGGTACTCGTAGATAAGAATATAAAATGGTAGTCTTATTAATCATAATTTGTATTTCGTCTCATCTTATATATGTACATATGTACATGTACAAATAATCACTTATATGTTGGTACAGCTTGTAAGTTTTATTATCATAAAAGGTGTGCGTTGGTATTTGTATTAATGTAACACGCACAAACGGTCATATCATTATTTACTATCGTATTTCATCTTCCTACATATATTTTTGCGAGTAGAGAGATATAGTAGTCGTTCAATTTCTACTAAACTACGTATTTTGTTGTCATCAGATTGATATTAACATCTACATAGTTAATGCCAATTCGGCCCCGTGTGAGATTGAACCTCCTTCCCTTAAGCTAGCCAGACACAGATCAGACATTTTAGTTTTTTTACTAATTGTAAAAACAATATACGTATAAGAAATAGGATACTATTAGTTATATTCTATGGGGTAAGTTAGTTTCCTTTTATCTTTAGTGGCGACGTGAGATCGCATATCTGTCGCGATAGGCGGCCGTCAAAACAGTTGTCCCGATAGCGAAACAATGTACCCCTGCCGCTTCGACGCTATCATACTATCCTTCCTTCCGTACATTTTCATTGGTATTCAAAACACGATTGAGATGTTCCATTTTAAATTTTATCGCTCAGCGACGTTTTAACTGTAACTGGCAGGTGCAAATCGCGATAAAGACGCTACTTTAAAAATGTTTGTTGTGAATGAAAATTTAAGTTCCTAAATGTAGGCATTGCCTTAAAAGTCCTTCATAACGAACAACTTATTGACATCTGTATTAATACATTTCTAGCTTTAAGTAAACAAGTTATGTACTGTGTGTCATAAATAATGTAGGCCAACTATATAAAGTCGTTTGTGCGTAATCTAGGTAAAATTTTGAAAGATATTTCCAAATAACATGATAAACTGATCTTTAATGAATATCATAAAATTAACTTTAATTTATGATACAATTGCGTATAATAAGAAATATGAGCTTAAAAGTTTTATCTTTTTAAGATATTTGGTTTATTTAGAACACTTCTTGAAAATCTAACTTTTAATATTAATTAGTAATTTTAAAAGAAGTACAAATTAAGATGCCATTACACATAATATGTAAATATATAACTCTAAATTCTCCTTGCAATATACGGGCAACTAAGACAAAACGATAATAAAGTTGTTTAACTATTATATTGAGTGGGTATAAACGATACAAAAAATATCTTTAGAAGAAGAAACTAGATATTTACCAATATAATAAGAAGTTAATATATAAAAAATAATATTATCGATATTATTATTGAACAAGTTGACAAGTAATAAATATTAGTATAAAATATCGATTTTATTTCGACAAATTGGTAATATACCTACTGAACTTGTTTTTTACTCTGTTGATATGCATCTACTTCGTTTGTCACAATGTAATCCTATTTTTTATTCTATTTGAAACGGTTTGATTTAGTTTTCCTTCGCATAACATATACGGCTAACATAAAACACTCTACTTTTAATAATTTGCCGATTCTAATAAATAAAGATTTCAGACTTTTACAGAAAGGGTCTGCTCGAAAAACGACCGCCCGGGTTGCATGCATCAGAATTCAAACTCTATTGTATTTTATCATACATTCTTTTTTGCACCTTACGCGAATATATTTGCAATTTTAGTTGACAGGATTTATCATGAGATTTTTTGCGTAACGCTGATTGTCTTTCAATCGGAGCATTTCTTTAGATTTCGTTCGCTATGATAAAGAGCTGCTATACCTAATCCGAAATCTCAAACTTCTTGATCATGGCTGCATCTTAGAACAATTTGCAAATGCCTAAAAAAATTAACAATGTAAAATGGTACGTTAGTTTTTATATTATATACATCTTGTTTAGTCTATTTTTATTTTAGCCAACATTTAAAATGCTTATTTGCAAAGCCACTTCTGTTGAACTGTATGTTCAGGAAATAATTAAGGATGGGATAAAAGTTCTTGTCAAATCTAACTTTACAATATAATAATTAATAATCATCATAATAGTAATGTCCTCTTAACTTTGTTTCGGTCTGCCATGACCAATATCTATCTACACGGGAGATATAACAGTGCACAGTTGGGTGCGCGAAAACAAGTGCTGTACTCTGTATCCTAAATCTCTTACTTCGATGAGATGACAGACCAACGAGAGGTCATGGTGTGGGAATAATGAGAGCAACATAGGGTTGCAAAATGTAATTTCAACTCAGTGTTACGAGGATTTTTTTGGGCAATGTATGCAGACATTTTTTTTCAATTCATATGATCTGCAGTCCTCCGACCGCAGCACCTAGCCACTAAGCCAATCGTACCTAAACTAAACTTAATGGATTTTTTTTTACCGTTAAATTATTGTAAGATGCATCATGCAACCTGCTGATTTTAAAATATTTTTGAAGAGTATTTATATAATGTTTTTTTCGTTGTTTTCGTCGTTGAAATGTTTTGCATTTCTTGTAAGTATATTTTTTTCATTGGCCTGTTCGGTTCACCACATAATTTATATTTATAAGGTAAGTAAATTTTAATAAGTGAAAGTAAGCTTTTAAGTAACTATTTTGGTAAAAATTAAAAAGTATTCCTAAAAACATCATCTCTAAAAAAATATTTACGTTATTGTAATTTTTTGGGATACTAAAGTATAAGATATATAATAAGGCAGTGGTAGCCCAGTTGTAACGCGCTCGCTTGGGAAACCGAGGGAAGCGGGTTCAAATCCTGGGTCTCGCACCTCTGATATTTCCATGTGCGAATCATTTCTATCATTTATTACCACTTGCCTTACGGTGAAGGAAAACATCGTGAGGAAACCTGCATGTCTGAGAGAACCGAGCAAGTTTTCGAAATACATGTGAAGTCCGTCAACCCGTGCCCAGCAGTGGGACGTTAAGAAGGGATGAATACAAAGTATAAGATATAAACGGTGTGTAAAGAAAACGAATTCGCGAATTATGGTAACTTTGTATGGAAAATATTTCGTCGAATCACACTAAGTACATACTTTACCCAATGGTATAATATCACAATTGTAAGTACTTATATGGAATATTTTTATTTAACTAAAACTGTTTGACAATTTATAATTCGTCGCAGCTCAACATTTTTGCCGTACGCAATTAACTTCAAATCATTTGATTGACATTTCACTTCCAAGTATCCGAGCGTAGGCGTGGGCGTTATGAGGGGTATTATTTTTCTATTTAATACACATGGGTGCGTAAACAAAAAGGTAATAGTCGGGGTTGTGAGGGGCGGGGCCAGGTGTCAGTTGCAGAGATCTTATCTACGTGGGGACGCGCCGGCGGCCGACGGGCGACCGGCGACCGGCGACGGAGTAGTAGTCTCGTCATATTCAACAATAAGCACGTAGATGAACTTAGGATTTGTGTGACTTTGTTTAACTAGACCATGGGGCTTAGATAAGATGTCATTCTACAATAGTTGAAGAATAGAAAGACAGAATGGCATATCGGTTTAATAACTCATTTCAATTTTCATAATACTTAAAATTTCTATTTTCAACTACTTTATTAGCAAATAGCAGCTGGATTTTTATACGTTGAAGTGTAATGGTCATGCTTTAATACGCTTTTTACACTATGTAAATCCATACTAATATTATAAATGTGAAAGTGTGTTTGTTTGTTTGTTTGTCCTTCTTTCTCATCAAAACGGAGTGAAGGATTGTCGTGATTTTTTGTGTGGAGATAGTTGGAAGGATGGAGAGTGACATAGGCTTCTTTTCACCGCGGGAGTTTATCTAATTCCCACGGAAAAACATTTTATAATACAATCAAAAAAAGGTTTTTGATCAGAAATAAATACATTTTTTAGGATTTTTCGAAATTCATCCTATATGAGGGTTTCATACAAACTTTCATCCTTTAATTTATTAAAGGATGAAAGTTTGTATGAAACTAGCTTTTTTGAGATTTTTTTGTAGTTTTAGCGCGAGCGAAGCTGCGGGTTCTGCTAGTAGTCTATAAAGATAGGAACTGTCCATGACGTATTCACTGTATGAGGAGTGAGGACTGTCAACGACGCTATGTAAGAAATTAATTTGGAGTCATTTTTGATTGTATAGTCAATATGGAATTTAACAGGTATGTATATGCATGTAGATGATGTTGTGAGATGTGTCTATTATGTTTATTATTGGAAGATTATGTAACTCTACATTTATACCAATTTTTGGGCATCTTTAGTCAATTTACATAAATTTTCATGTATACAAATTATTATCAAAAGTACTATTTAAATAATTATGATTTATAACCCTGAAACTGGCTATTAATATATTTATGAGAATCTAAGTATACCTATATAGCTAAAGATACTAATGTTTGAGTAGGTATTATGTTATTGCGCGGTTATCCTCAAAACTATATTCATTGATTTTTCTCTTAAATAATCCTATAATAAATTACAATGTTTATGATTTTGTACCATATTTGATGTGAAGACTGATTAGAAAAAAAATAAAAAATAATAATTTCGTTTGTTTGTGAGCATTAGCTACTCAAGTTAATCTTTCAATATTTATTTTGTGTAGATACCTATCAAAAGTTCTTAGAATTATTTTCGTGGGCTTTATAGATGATCGCATGAAACAAATTAGCAATACATACTTACTCATTTTATTGTTATTATGAAGAAAAGATAACCTAACCTTTATCCGTTATGTGTTCTTTTTATAATCATAAATATATATGTAGTAATCAATTATATGCGGCTGTTCGAATAATATTAAAGTATGAGTAACAGAACTACGTGATCGTGATCGAGCCCATTAACTCTGAGGCCAATTATCCCTCATGTTCCTCGAGTCTGTCGAGACAAGTACGATCGCAATATGTTAACTTATTTTTTAATTTCTCCCGTACAGCCGAGGATGTTCCGGCGAGTGCTGCGCAGGAGTGAGATTTATAATAAGAAAACGCTCCTACCGCGCATGCACCATAAGGATCTATAAATCTCAAGTACCGCATCGGCCAATCCCTGTTGAGAAACGATAAATCATCGGTGCAGATGCGGACGGTACAGTCGAATTCAACGCGGACTCTCTACCGTCTCCCTCGCACCGACGCTCCTCGCGCTCAATACATCATTTATCATTTCTTTCTCTCGTTTCTTCTCAATGATAAATTCAATTCTGTTTTGGAATATGATTGTTCTTCGTTTTGTTATTGTGGTGTTTTATTGTAGTACCGTCACGGAGTTAGGTTTTTTGATCGGAATCCGATCGAAATGATCGCGAGAATTGGATTTCCATTTTAGATTTCGTGCCACGAGTGATCAATCTTGTAAGCCTTCGCTCGGAGGCCTCAGAGCTTTGTACGGTTATACTTCAGAGGAAAAAATTAATATATTATTTTGTCATGAAATTAAGTATTTACGTTTATGACAAATTATTTTTAATATCTTTATGTTAATTCAAATATACATTTACTCGATGTATACATTAACTACAAAATAACTATCTTTTACTAACAAAACCAAGTTTTACATATAATTGAAATGCATTTTAATTGAAATATGCTTTTATTTATCTCCGCTATTTACATGGCCGTAGAAAAGACAACAGGTTTCTCTTAAAGTAACTTAAAATACATCTTTTTCTTTCAGTCAATTAATTATACATACATAAATACAATTTTTCTATCTAGTTAAAGTGTGTGTTCGTGAAAAAATAGTTATGTAATTTTTAAATATATAAAAAGGTGTATATATAAGACATTAAATTCTGGAATACATAGCACAATTTATTAGCAACGACACAGATAGTAATTTACAATAAATCAATCACTTACTCTATTATCACTGGGCATTCCTATATTATATAATATTTTTTACACAAAATAAACTAGTTCTTAAAAATTACAAATGTACAATAATTATACTTAGACTTCGGTACTTTGGCCATTAACTCATCTGAAAACTACATTTAGTAACAAATCAAACTTGTTTTACGCTTTATACATACAAAATTAAGTGTTTTTATTTGTTCAAATGAAAAATATAATTAAGTATAGCTTTTTAATTTAATAATAAAAACTTTTGTACATCATAGACTTTTGCACTTATGAATAGTATCTATAGAAAGGCTGCAATAAATCACTGTCAACAAAGCAGTTGACAAAAATCCAACCTGAACAGCATCGTCTCCAACATTACAAAGGTCGCAAACAATGAAAAGGAATATCTTGTTAAGTATAATAAGACATTTCTGCACTAACACTGTGTTTACAGAAAATACACATTTTGTAAAGCTTTCGACAGCTAGCGATCATTGTTTACAACTCTGTTGTTTCACGTACACATTCCACGTAGTTTTAATATTTCTTAGCTATATTGTTTGCTATGTATATTCTTTTCACACAGTAGAATTCAATTTATATGAAATTTCGGACGGCTGTAAAACTGGCATTGAGTAAAACTGCTTTAAAATCGATCAGAATATTATTAATCTAAATGTTAATAAGCGTAATGCATTCTCATAGGCATAGCTCTGTGGCGCGTTAGAGAACTTTTCATTCCACGTCATATCGCATCATTATCGTTCACATAAAACATTCAATATGTTATTTGTTGAATTTAAATAAGCTCTAGGCGGATAGATGATAAATTAAATTAACTACGCGGATAAAGATGGTTTCTGAGCGTCGAATGAAGAGTTCCCTAAGCGCGATGCGGTCAGTAGGCGGCGGCGGCGCCGGAGTGATGCATCAAGTGATGGTGGTGGTAGGACTCCTGCGAGGGACACCACCAGTCCGGCACGCCGTGCGGTACAGAGGGAGCCGGCTGCTGGTACTGGCTCCAGTGTCCCCCGAATCCAATCTTATTATCCATGACGTTACCGCCTATGTTCGTAAGATGTGGGGGAGGAGGCTGGTTATGGTGTGGTGGTACGGGAGGTCTTTCATAGGATTTTTGGTCGTGTGGGTTAAGGTACTTATCGTTAAGACTTTCAAGTTTGTCCGTTATTGTTGGGTGGTGTTGCGTGTGGTGAGGAGGCGCCGGCGCCAATGAGGGCGGGGGTGGGACGGGGGCGGGTGGACTGGCCGCGCCGGCCGTCACACTGACACTTCCGGCCGAGGAGGAATCGTCCCCATCACTATCGTAGCGCGGAGACGCGTCACCAGCAGCACCATGCACCTTCATATGCTTACGTAGAGATGAAGGGTGCGTGTACGACTTGTCGCAGCCGTGCACGCGGCAGTTGTAAGGCTTATCTGATGTGTGCACGTGCGAATGCTTCTTCCTATCGGAAGAATTGGCAAATCGGCGGTCGCAGCCTGCGTACTCACATTTGAATGGTTTTTCACCTGAAAATATAAATAAAATTTGTTGAGTTGATATATCTTACATTATTTATATTTTAAATTAATAGGGCACATCCAATATAATAAAAAAAATGTTCATCAATTATTTAAAAATAAAATTATTCATTTTGCGTTAAACATGAGCATTTCTTCTTTATTTACTGTAGAGAAGACATAATGATCAGTTTGATATAAAAACCTAAGAGAACAACAATCGTCTTAGCAATCTATAAATAAATATTAATAAGTTCAAATAAAAACATCGATGGGAACGATAGCAAATAACCAATCATGTCATAAATAACCAGATTTGCTCGTTGTTTATAGTTTACGTATATAAATAAATATTCGTAACAATTGTGAGGGATACTTAACACTGCTATAAATCATATTTATAAGCAGACTTTGTCACACTTTACAACAATGCTAAAATATGTCAGATATGGTAAATTGAACTCTAACGTCTGCACTAAAGCCATATTTACATTTATCGACACAAACAAATTGGGATAGCTTTGACAAAAGAAACTTGAATGACTCTGCTTATGACGTGATGATTATGGTGAACCAATTTAATCTTTTGGTGCACCACATCTAAATATTAACCAGCTGTAACATCTCGCTTTGACACTTTGAATTAATTAAACCGATAACATAAAATTAGGTATTGCTCTTTGATTTTATTTACATTTAGTAGATACAATAAATAAAATATTTCATCAGGTACATTTGCTTATTTGCTCTCGAATATAAAAACGTGGATTCCAGAACTTAAATCTTTATTATAATACTTACGATATTGTAATACATTTTTTGCAAACCTATTTTATATTATCAACTTTTCGAGCATTTATATTGTGATAAACCTTCACGAGTTCACTGAATCGTATGTGATATGAAACCATTCAATAAAATTACAAGTAGGCAGTGACTAGTGTGTCCGCAGTGTACACAGCCCACAACAATACGCTTTTCTTTGTCATGTTTACAAATAAACCTCTTCGGTTGTAATCCCCCCGTATTGTTGTTGAAACTTGAAGATCGCGTTGAGGAGCTACAGATGCTAATCTCAAGTGTTTGTTAACGCACCAATAATAGGGCTTTTTAGATATTCTCCACCGCAATTTTGTTACAGTGTCGATATTCTGAATGAACGCATCAAGTTCGACATCTATGAATGCTGATACTTCCTTTCTTTAATTCATATCTTTACAAATAAATAGCATTATTATGGTACGATATTCACATACGTATAATAGCATCGATACTTAGGTAGTTTTAAAATCAGATATTTTTTATGGCAACTTAAATTAAATATCTCATAAAAGGAAATGCACGTAATAAATAAAATAAAATGGTCTAATTTTGGAGCCGGCGGTCTGGGTTTTAGGCATTCATGACCCTAATACAAGATAAAAGATCACAAAACATGTGTCGCCCGTCTAATTACTAATCGGGCGTCTCATCTCAGAAGATGTCACAAAAAATCTATTAGCGTGTGATGTGTTATCGCTGCGCACGCGCCTCGGTTAGCTCAGTTCATCACAAATAGCATTCATTCTATGTAAACTACACACTATATGGAACAGGTAAAATGCATTATTTTATCTAGTAATTTTTAAGCAATTATCATTTTTCAATGTAAATATTAATATTGTTTTTTTTAACGGTACTGTCCATACATAGCAAAAACTTTTTCTATCTTAAACTTGATTATTGAAAGAATAATAAATGGTTATTAAATATATGTTCGTATTTTTGTAAGCGACGTTGTATGTATATATTTAATGATAAAACAAAAACAGAAAACAACATGAGTTGGGAATGCACATCGTGAATTCGTAGCATGCCAAGCCGGGACACGGGCTAGGGTCAGATGCTTATCTTAAACGCCTGTATCACCCACCAAAGACACTTTTTTGTAACATTATTATCGATGTGAAATGTTATCTTTGCCTTATTTTCCACGATGTTAAACAACCTAAATGTTTAAGAATCCGACACACTATTTTGACAATTAATTATGAAGAATCTTAAAAAAACATTAAAGCAATGGTATGTTTTAGTCAGATCGAATTAAATTTCATTTTATTTTATAAGCTGTTTCTGAGTTGGCACGTCGCCTAGACGGAATAGCCGCAGTATTAGATTACCATTCGCTACTTAAGCGCGCGCTGCTGAGAAAACAAGCTTTTTAGAAATAGCAAGTCTTGCGGGTGATGTGTAACCTGACACACTCGGCCTTTGCACCCAAATTGTGTAAATGGCTTTAGGTGAGTTTTGAGAAAAAACAGTTGCAAGTTATCGAGTTGCACCGGGTGTGAGTGTGTTAATTATCACGTATCTATCTATTTTCAATTTATTTGAGCAAATCACATATTAAAAAGACAGAAGACAGCAATCAACAGTTAATAATAGTCATTATGATTTATGATAGTATTCATCTGCCATACGGATGTTATTAAATAATGTCAAAGTTGAAATTATAAAACTGCAAATTTATTAAGCGATCTCTTATTTAATACAACGCAAGTACCTAAATGTTTTGCATAATATTTATCGTTATATCATAGGAGCTGTATAAAGCTGAATTGCAAGTAAAACGTAAATACTAAGTATTATTAGATATATTCGCCATTTAATATCATTAGTTATCTATAAAATGTCATTTTACATCAGGGAAATAATTTATAAATGCTTTAGTTCGATTATATAGATACTAGGTACCATTATGATTTTAAATTTTTAATCTTATTACATTTGATATTTAAAACGAAGCGTAATGGGCATTGTTTAATCGGTTAATAGCTATTACAGACTGAAGCATATTCGAGTTAATTCAATCTCCAATAGACAGGCGGCTAATGAGAGGACGATGACTGGCATTTTGTTGACACAATCGTCTTCTTTCAACATGGACGCACACCATGTTTTGACTGACCTATAAAACTAATCACTACATTAAATAAAATCTAGTTTGACTTGTAAGGTGAATGTTTCTAGCTAACCTACATTTACCTGTTTAATGATAAGCGCAATATAACACCTCACTATAGTTAACAATTATTACTCCCCATAAACATCGCATAGATAATATAAGATCATCTATTTATGTAACTGATTGACGATATCGACAATTCTCCGAAAACCGATTTTCTCTCGCATATTTAAAAAGAATTTCATACAAGGTATAATGATTTATGACCTTCCTTTATCCGAAACGTATTTCGAATTAGAAAGATATATTAATATCTTCATTTTTTCCACTTCTCGAAGAATACAGGCCCCTTGTCCCGTGAGTACAAAAAGAATATACAGGGTCGGCGCATTCGGCGCCCAACGACCGTGTGACAAGGTGCTTTATGCGGACGATTATGAGCAGACCGAATAATGTTCCAATACCCGATAAATATCTGCCAACTCATACAAAAGCATCCCAATAAAAATATAATAGTAAATGTAGCAACAACACAGCCCACAAACTGCACAGTCATATCTTTCTGGTAAATATAATATTATACATCAAATGCAATCGTATATCGTGAGATAAATTAAAATGAAATATGTACTTAAAATGAAACGAATTAAAAATTATCAATGGTTGCAATATAATATAATTGCAATTAACAACTTTGCTATTAAAATGAATTAGGTAATAATTGAATTATTAATATTAAGTCTTCAATTAATTATGTAATCAATAGCGGACAATATGTTCCTATATGATGTAATTTTGAATTCTTGATCATATTGACACATAGTCTCTATATCCATTTCTACACAGCTTAGTGATTTAGTATCACATTTGCCAGTCTGGCAATACAGAAGTAAATTAAACTGCCACAGCTATTGTTCTTGAGGAAACTGTGAAAACACTATCCGTCTTGCTCTGATAACTATCTGTTGAGAATGCGCAGTAGAGATATTTCTATTCACCGATATAAAGAGAAATGGAAATCTTACAACGCCTTTATTTTCATGGACTTACAGGAAACAATTTATTTTCTTTTATTGGACAACGTTAAACTTTTATTTTAACTTAGCAATAACACTAAAAAGCTACATTAAAATTGTTTATTTATGACATATTTCTAGTAGTAGTATAAAACAGAAAGAAGCTTTAACGTTGCTGTAGTGAATATAAAGTTGGCGGAACTTATCGGATTCTGTTCCCAGGGCATAATGTTGAATGATGTGGTGCGATACACCTGCGTGCAACAGTATAAGAACAAAACGACAGGCAAGCGGGTTCGCTCGTCAATCCGTCCGTCAGGCGTTTTGACAGCCCTAACCGGCATCATCGCTGGGATCCGAGCGATAAAAAATAACCAGAAATATATCATAAACAACATTTTTATTTGAGGAAAAATTCTGAAGACACTAGTTTATAATATGAACCCTAAATATAGTATTAAAAATACTTTTGATAATTACGTTCTATGGATTTTTGACGGGTTTTAAAGATATTTCAGAAAACAAATTGTATAATCACAGTAAGACATTTGAGTATTAATTTCCAAATTAGCAATAGCGTTAAAGGCCTCGAGCAAAATTTTTGTGTTATAAAGCCATAGATTCAAAATCATTAAGGTGTAATGTTCGGAACATATAAATATTCTAATTCTGCGGCGCTACGTTGGCTGTCCAATAAATCGGATGACTTATGAACTTACCATAAACAGACTCAACACCCACACGTGCTCACATTTCAGCCCTTGGGCACATTTTTGATAGAAGCTAATATTTCTAAAAAATATTAATATCATTTTGTGCTCTAACTCTATTTTCTTTTTATGAAAGTTGTCCACATTCTCAGAATGCCGTCCTATTTCTAATGATTAAAAGTTATTTATCGTATGGTCAATATGTAATAGATCGTCTTTTATTTGTTAATTATTATATTTGCATTGTTAAACTTCATTTAAGATTTACAATGGCAATTATTAGTGGTTAAGATAAATGAGTTAAGTGTCCTATCGTCACTAATTTCATTATCGTTTCTG